CATGTTTTAGTCTATTTTTTAAGATCATAAATATGGAATACATGGTCTTAAGTTTCTTCATTATGATTTTCATGGAACAAACGCTCCAATATTGACTGGTAGACAAAAATTTAATTAAATATTTGGAAAATAAGTGGAATTTTCATAGTCAATATAATTCCTAACATGCCTGTAAACATCATGAATTCAAGGCATGCCTAGGCTTCATAGGGAAACCCTATCTCTAAGAGAAAGATAGAGAGAGGGATGGATGGAGAGAGAAACAGAGAGAGAGACACACAGAGAGACAGAATGAATGAATGAATTTCCCAAAGAGAAATTTTTTTTCTGAAATCTAGAAGAAATTCCTTTTGGGGACTGCAGGATAATTAGGGCATCTTAATGAAATGAAAAAAGAATAATTATGTTGCTCATTACCATTGCAGCTTAGAAATGGAGCAGTGTTTTTCTAGCACAATGGAAGAGGAACTGTAAGTATTACTTAGCTATTTCCACATTTGAAACTCTCCTTTCATGCTGGAAGGTTTATCTTAGATAGGACATGCAACTGTCTGTGTGGATGCACAATATAATCACAATGAACACATGCATTTGATCAATCAATAGAGAGTAAGTGGCATTTGCCAGTGATCTTCTATGTTTTTTATCCCTCAGCTGTGTTATTCACTAGCATTCAACTTGTACTGTCAGTATTTTGTATCAATGTCAGAAAGTGGTCATCTTGTCTTTAGTAAATAGAATAATGAGAGTTAAAAGCTGAACAAGACAACAGCTATTGAGACAATTTTAGTCTCCAGAAGACAGACATTTTGTCATAGATTGATAACTGTTGTATTTTAAAACGAATTATAAAAATCCATTTTCAGAGTATAAGAGTTGTGAATAACAATTAAAAAGCTTTACTCTGCCAGGTCCCCAAGTAGTCAGTCACATCTGTGTTCCTTTTGCCCAAAGTACAATGTTGTTGTAAATTAAATACTGGTTTTATCAACTGATGCTTCTACCCAGCATTTTGTTTCCTTAAATGAAAAGCAATTAGAATATATTGCAATATGATGGTTGAGAAAGGAAGCCAGAAGTAGAAAGATGAGGCTGGCATTTCCTCTGCAGCACAGAACCAAGCATGCTTATCATGGCAGCACCTGCGGGAGTAGAAGCATGAAGGTCTACATGACAATACTCTTGACCTCAGTCTTTGAACTTACACCTGAATCAATTCTGCGGCATTGAGTGTACCATGAAGTCTGGAGGAATACCAATGCGAGTGACTAAGTAACATTTCAGGGCTTCTTGCAAATATATTTTAATCATTAAAGCAGCTTAAATGTCCACTGAGGGATAAGTAAAGAAAATATGGCATAGTTACAAAATGATATTAATGAGGTATAAAGAAGAGTAAAATGTCATCTCTAAAAACAAACTGAACCTGGGATAATTATATAAAGTAAAATAAGCAAAACTCAGAAAGTCAAATTTTCAAGTTTTCTTTCATATGTAAAATCTAAAAAATAAAAAATTAGAAAGGAAACACAAGCTTATATGAAAGCATAAAGGAAGCTATTACAGGAAAAAATCAGGGAGGGGATCAAGAGAGGAACAGGGAATCCATGAGGGAGAGAGCTTGCTAAGTGTAGGTTACACACATGAATAAATATGTCAAAACTTCCCACCGTGTATAACTAATAGGACCCAATAAAACAAACATGCAAAGGAGGTAAGAAAAATGTTAAAGACACTATAATGTAAATACTATTTTTTGCCTAAAAATATCCCAGAATCTACATCCCAACACTTCTGATCTCATAAATAAATTCTATAAAGTTGCAGGATACAAAAATAAGTAGCATTTTTTCATATGCTAGCTATTCAAAAAAGAAATCAAGAAAATAATCCAATATAGAATAACTGAAAATATATACTCAAGAATATGTTTACCCAAGGAGCTTGAAGCTCTTTTTAATTGAAAATATAAAACACTGTTAAAAAAAAATTGGTGAATAAACAAAGAAATGGGAAGATGTCCTGCGTTTATGCTTTGAAAACTCAATATTGGTAACATGGCCATGTTTACCCATCTGGGACTCTTCAGAGACCCTGCAATCACTATTGAAATTCTAATGATATTCAACGTAGGTCTATAACATATAATTTGAATTGTACATAATTCCATGAAAAATCTGGAATAGCCAAACTGATTATGAGCAAAAAGTATGTGTCTAGAAGCATCACACTGATGCTAGGTATACTTTAAAGCTATTATAATAAAAACTGACTAGCATAAAAACAAGAATACAGGCTAACTGAACAGAATATGGAGCTCAGAAATACATCTATGCTTTTTTAAACAGTTGCTCCTTGCACATTTCCAAGAGCGCATAAAAGAATGGCTACCTCTGATGCCCGGAGTAGTAGATATCTACAAAGCAATGAAATTATGTGTTTTCCTTATGCAATAAATAAAAATAAATTTTAAATGAAGTTTTAAAGGTCTGAAAATGTAAAATTTTTAGAAATTTGAGGAAAAAGTTTGTGAATACTATGGAAAGCTGTAGTTATAGGTCACTGTATGATAGGGAACTGTTTAGCTGTATGTCTCCTAGAAAGCATATAATCCGTAGTTTAGACACTCATTGTTAGACTAAAAATTTTAAAGCACCAAAAATAAAACTAAGCAGTTTATTTAGAGTAAACAAAATATGAAGTGGGCAAAAATCATACATGTGATTAGAGTTTAACATCCAAAACTAGAAAATACTTCAGCTCAATAACCAACCAAACAAAAATAATGTGAATAAAATGATTAAATGAAGTTATAATATTCTCAATTGACAACATAAAAAAAATCTATCAGTTTTGTGAAAAATGCTCAATGTCATTAATCATCAGAAAAGTACAAATTGAAGACACAAGGAGATACTGATTCATAAATGTCAGCATGACTGTTATCAAGAATACCAAGGATAAGAAGTGTTCGAAAGAGGTGAAGAAGAGTAACATCTTGCACACTGTTATAAGGAATGTAAACTGATATCGAACACATGGTGGAAGTTTCTCAAAAAAATAAAACTAGACCTGCTATATGATCCAATAATTTTATTATTTGGTACGTGACTAGAAATTTAAACTGTTATGTGAAAGTGTGATCTGTATTCTCCTATGGATTACAGAATTCTTCAAAATACTCAAGACATGAAATGCACTTAGATGTTCACTGATAGAAAAATGGATAATGAAAATATCATTCATAAGTGCTGTGTGTGTGGGTGTGCTTGTGTGTGACTGAATGCTTTTCAGTCTTACACAAGAAAGTATTCTGTCATTTATAATATATAGAAGAACTTTCACTTGTTAAGTGAAATTAGGCAAAGAAAAATGCTACATGATCTCATAAGGGTAGAATGATATTTAACAAAGGCTGATGCACAGGAAGTGGGGGTTCGTGGTTAATCGAAAAAGGGCTGTTAATGAAAAATCACAAACTTCATTTAGGTAGAATGTTAAGTTCTGTATATTTATTTTAAAAAATGGTGACTATTGATGATTTAACACATACTTAGAAATTGCTGAGAATGGATTTTTAAATACAATAATACCTCAGTATATGAATTCTTCTGTTTGCAAACAATTTGGTTTGCAAACAAAACATTTAGCAAACTTTGTTTCCACACACAAGTTTTACTTCCGTGGTTATACCCATGCAACCACAGTTATTTTCCCCAAAATTGTGAAACAAATAGATTGTAAACCAAGGCACTACTGTATCTCACCACAAGAAATTTGTATTTTTGCCATATTAAATTCCTTTTCTTTTAATCTTGAAATGGGTCTACATCAAAAGCCACTATATTTTGGAAGTATAATTTTTTAACTTTCAATTTTCTGACCGTAAGTTCCCCTCTTCCAATTATAATTAATTTACTTTCCTATCTTGAAATAACTTAGATTTATTTGAAACTATTCATGTATTTTATGGAGTAATTATTAACTATGTACCGTATATCCTCTTTTGATGGTTTATGTATTTATATGGCTTATTCTACATACTATTAATAAATTGCATCAAATTAAATATATTAATGGTATTAAAGCATTGTTTTAGCCTAGGAAAACTGCTCACATTTTTAACACTTCTGTTGTTTTTAATGGCTATCTGATTTCATTTTGGACTAGTAGAATGGAATACTTGAGACGTGGTAGATTAAACTTAACAGACATGTTTCAGCATATGGGTTCACAGGCTGTGAAGGCTACGGTCAAGGTGTAGGCACTTGTCAGCAGCCTTCTGTGGCATCTCCCACAAAGTAGGAACAAAGTGGTTGAAAAGATATAAGAATGGCCCTCAAACACTTTTGTAATGACAGAAATCCCAACCATGAGCATAAATCTCTAGACACAAACACCTAAAGCTTACCATTTAATTTCAGCAAGTCTTAGCAAAAGCTATAAACCATACCACGTAGTTTGTTTCATGTACCACTTAACATTTTACATCATATTAAATAAGCTAATATTTTAAAAACTCTAATTCAATGAAATTCACTCAAATTGCATAATTTTGTTGTTTTTGACTAAATATTCATCAATTTTAGCATGATTACATTTATTTTAATGTACTTTCCCTGTGTTAGCATTTAGTCTCATTTAATGCATTGTAAGTTTAATTTTATTATGTAAGAAGGTGTTCTAAGCCTTACATCTCATTTATAAATTTCATATGCTATTTTGCTTTACCTTTAAAAAACATTTAATATGTATTCCAGAACACTGCTGAAGTAAATCACCTTGAGAACTTTAAATTTTAATTTTAAATATCTAAAAATTTTTAATTTTTTGCTTTTTTAATTTTTATAATTTTGAAGATTTTGTATCTCATAAATTTATGAGATAAAATGATCTTTGATGCTGGCATCTCAACGATTCTTACTGTGATGTTTTATTTCCTTGTTTCTCCACAGAAATATAATGAAGAAATAATAGGCCTCAAGCAATGCACAATTTACCTTACAAATCTGGAAATATTCTGAAGTCAAGGTTTCCTGAATCTCCTCTCTCAGAACTCCAGCTGTCCCTCCTGGATGCAAGGGACCAGTACCAGTCCCACCGCTGTTACTGCCGCTGCTGCTGCCACTGCCCGGTGAGGAGGCAGTCAAGCCATCCAAAACTTTTCGGAAATTCAACTTCTTCATTTTAAGAACTGTTGAGAAAGTCAAAGGAAAAGAGAAAGGGTTGACTAACTACACAGAATTACACTGGGTAAAATCATTTATTTTTCCATATTCAAGGCAGCAAAAGCCAGCCCCATTTTATGAGCATTGGCTGAAAAGTGGAAAAGAAGAAAGGCCTCGTTTTGTCAAATTTTAATTCTAAAATACATATCTTCATAAAATAAAGACCATTCCTAGAGCAACTGTATTCCTTCTTCATACATCAGATTTTCAAGGGCTTTATCCCCAGCTGTAACTACGCTTTGACAGCACTGGGGTCAAAATAAAAGGCAGTGTCGTCCTCGTCATTAGTATTATATCATCATTATTATACAATCAAACCAGAATCAAAAGAACAAGACCCTCCGCGTCTCTCTTCAAGGCGGGATTTCCTTCTAAAGGTTCAGCTAGAATAATTTTTATTTCCAGAAAAACGTTGTGGGGGGGGGGGGGTTGCTGCAATTTACTCTGCCACCATCTTCCAGGCGACCCCCCCCCCAACCCTCTGTCATCTTCAACCCTGCCTTTTTTCTCGGCAAGAAATTTGGGAGGCAAAGACGCCTTTTATTCCACTCCCCATTCCCAACAGTCAGAGCCCAAAACATCTGCGGCTGACAGCACCACAGCCGACGGGAGGGACAAGCGGCGACGCCGGCCGCCTCCGCGCTGCCCCGCACCCTCATCCCGGCCCCTCCCGCCCGCGCCTCTAGACCCCCACCCCACCTCCTCCCACCCCAGCCAACCAGCCGCTCGCAGCCCCCGCGGCGTCCGCCCGCCCGCCCCGGCCCTCTCCGCAGCACGACAGCGGCCCTCAGGGGACGCGAGGCGGTAGCGGCTGCGGCGCAAGTCCCGCCTGAGCCGGCCGGGCGCGCGGAGTCAGGCACCCGCCGTCGCTCCCCGGGGCCGAGCACCCAACGCGCGAGCACACAAACACCCTCAGCAGACCGCCGCGCTCCGGGCCGAGCGCACACACACGCGCGCCCACGGGCCCCTACAGACCCTGCGCGGGCGCCCACACGCATGCCAGCAGGTGTGAGGGAAGCGCGGCTGGACGGCGAGCGCGGCGTCCCGGACGAACGTCTAAGGACCCGGATTTAGGCGCCCGCCTCACCGCCGCTAGCCGCCTGCCAATCCGGGAAGAGAAGGTCGCGGAGGGCGGCGGGCTTACAGGCGTGGGTGCGCCCGCCTAGGGCAGCTCCGCCGGTGTCTCTGGTCCCGGCGCCGGGCGCTCTCCAGTATTAGAAGAGTGTCCATCATTTTGTTTATAAATTCTGTGTTTTATAAGAATTCAAGCCTCTGGCAATGCCTTTGGAATATCTTTTAAGAAATTATCAATGGTTTATTTTGACCAAATTTCCTAAAGTGAGTTCATTGGAATTGTAATTCCTCCATGATAGATTGTGAATGTCAACTTTCAGTCTCCCAAAATTGCCTCTTAATTGCCTTCTACCTCTTGCAATACATTAGAAATTACATTCCACTTTCTGTTAATATGTATTAAGTGCATGGGACAGTAATAAAATATGCTTCAATATGCATTTTATAAATATAATTTTAATCCACAAATTCTAAAACCTATTTTCTGGGTATGCAAAATGAAAGAATTGTCTTTAAAAGATATTTGATTATTCCTATTTTAAGTACTCATTTGGCTGCTTTTCATTTAATCTTTATTTTCATGTTTCTAAAATTTTATATAGGTTATTTGGAGCCTGAAACATTTTGCATTGAAAGAGTGATGACTAAGGATATCATAGAATGGCAGTACTAAAGTGTCATTAAAAATATTTCTATGAGAAAATATAGGAGATAGCACAGGAATAGTTATTTCTGGTGGAGTACATACAGTATTTCTAAAAATGTAACCTTTTTTTCTACATATGATTAAATTTTATCGTGACATTTTGGAATTCTTAGAGTTAGGTTTGCTTTTAATGAAACATTGCTATTTGAAGAAAAAAGATTAAATAGAAAGATAATTATTATGGGAAATATATTTTGGCAATTCCATAAGAAAATCATCTGATATAAACCTCAGAAAAGTCTCTGTGAAGGGAATTATATCTATGCTGAGAGCCGAAGGATGAGTTTTCAGATACACAAGTGAAGAATCAGGACAAAGATGACAATTTTCCAGGAAAAAAACCCAAAATGTTCAAAAGATAGATGGTGAGAATTTTATGTTCCATGACTAGAAATGTTTTGAGTTTTGGTTGGGTTGAATGGCTGGAAGAGAAGATGGCAAGAGATATATCTGGGGCTGTAATCAGGGGATATATATAAATGGTCTTATAAGCCACTTAGAGTAGTTTGAAAATTAAAGTCAATAGGCAGCTAGACTTTAAATGGTTTTAGACAGATGTAATTTGATTAAATTTAAATTTTAAAAATATCCTATTCAGGAATGGAGAAATGATTGGAGAGAGAGTAAAAAATTATACTCTGGGTAAAAATGATAATACTTTGTGGGGAAGAGTTAAGCTGTTTTATTTTTAAAATAGAGGAAGAAGTGGAACAAATATAAAGAGAAAATTCAAGGATGGTATCGAGGTATTTGTCTTGAAGAACTGTGTATAATAGTGCCTGTTACTGAAAGAGAGCCAAAGATTTAAGTTTTGAAGTAAAGCAGTGTTCAATTTTAGGTGTGTTGAACTGTAAAGGTTCATTACATTCAGATGGTAATTAAAAATGAGAAGAGGGATATAGCTCAGCAGCACAGCGCCTACCTGGCAAGCACACTGTTCTGAGTTCAGTGCCTGGTACCCTCACGCCAAAAAAATTAGATTCCCAGTTTTCAGTGAAAGAATTCATAATGAAATTATCCTACTGCAGTATTCTTGCAGGGATCTGTGAAACAATTTTGGTTCTGTAGGCGGGCAATGTGCCATCTAGTTTGTCACAGTTCTTATCCTTTTTAACTCAGTGATTACCATGGATTTTTAAATTCATGACCACATATTACATAGAAATAGATGGCAGTTTAGGACAGGATACCACGTGGTATTAACATTTAGGATAGGACAATATGAAAAGACCAACAAATCAATTTAAGATTCAGATATTCTTTATTATTTTGGGCAGAATCTTTCATGATTTTCATACATGCTTAAGCCATGATGAATGGGAGAAAGAGAAATGAATTGTGATGTCCAGAAGAATTACTGAGCATTGTTTAGGTGCTGTTATATGAATTTATTGTCATTGATTTTTCTATCTAAAATAATTTTTTGAAATTTCATGATCCATAATTTTATATTTTAAAAAGTTCATTATAAATAACAGAAATTTATTCTGATAAACAAATATAATCCTACTATTCTGCTGAATTAGTTGGTTTTATAACCAACTAGAAGAATCTTGCATATAGTTTCATTCCCTAAAAAAATATTTTAGTGATTCCCTTATGGTAAATGAAAAAATATTTCAGTGTACCAACAAGCTTGGAAAATATTGAAGATTTGGGATAACTATTTGCGTAGTACTGGTTCTAAAAAGTTTTGTAGGAAAAAATATTTAACTTTATTTAATTTAGAGTTTTCCAAACTTTAAGGAAATGAGTCACTCTTTCTGTGGAATGTCTTATATCTCCACTAGTTGAAAATGGAATACACTTTGGTAAAAGCAGCTCAGTCAAACCCTAGAGACAAGAGGTTTTTCTTTTATTTTGTGCTTTTGCTTATTCACTATTGTTAGCTACTAAGTGGTAACTTAAACATTATACTTTATTAGAAGTAGTTATATCTTTATGGAAACTATATCTATAAATGGTGTTTTACATATCACTGTAGAAAAAAACTGCAAAATACTAGTATGAAACCTGTTTGTTTTTCTTCTTTCCAGACTATATCGTAGAATGCAAAATAATAACAAATTCCCAATGATTGTCAGAAAAATCATAAAACATACTATTAATAAATGGGTTAATGTTTTGCCATTATATTAGATATTATGTAAGTATAATTTCTAATCTGCACAATTATTCAGTAAGATCAGGCTTACTGAATGGAGGCTAATACTTTGTTTTTAGATGAGAAAATTTAGAATAAATCCACTATTAATATCTAATCTGTATTTATTTTTTCTGGGTCACTGAGAATTTAGTATCGGGGAGCCTAAAATTACTTAAATTTTCACTTTTATCTAATTTTAAGTAGTTTTTAAAGATTCAAATATTCTTCATTGCTTTGTGCTGACTCTTTCATGATTTTCATGTGTATTTAAAAATAAACTAAAACTAGATAATGTGTGCATCAAAATAAACTAGTCAGGTGTGGTAGCACACACCTGTAAGCCCTGCACTTTGGAGGCTGAAGCACAGGATTACCATAAAATACAGGCCAGGTGGGGTTATATCAGTGAGTTTAAGGCTAGCAAGTTCATAGCAAGATCCTGTCTGAAAAACAAACAAGAAAACTAACCACAAAGAAAGTGAACACTAGGTGAGTTTAACCTGGCACGATTACTTTTATTTAAAAAGACTAGGAGAAACTGAGCACTAATAAATCTCTGATCATATCAGGTTATTTCATAATTAACCATAATATAGACCATAATATAGACAATGAAAAAGTTAAACTAGGTATTATGAAAAATATATGGCAGATATCAGAGTAGAATAAGATCAGATCCACAAGGTCCCTTTAAGAATACCTTGTTGGTCTTACAATTGTGTTGTTCATTACATGAGATAACCACAGAATATATGGACTATAGCTAATGAATTAGGGTTCCCCAGCTTATCAGTTTTCTGGAAGATGGCAATCACTAGAATGAACTTCGTTTTAAATTAAAGGTCCCACTGTACTTTTGTTTGGGAGTAAAATCAGAGATTTCATTGTCATAAACAAATTAAATCAGGTATGTACTTTCAAATTCGGTTGAAACAAGTTCACTGCATCAATTTTGTGGTTGTAATTTAAGTCGATTTCAAATTTTCAGATGTTCATATACACAACAAATAATGACAAATCTGATTTTTATGCAGAAATTTGTTCTTAAACCTGATTTTTTAAAAAAATTGCATCTCATTTAGCGCTAATAGAGGGAAGCAAAGTAGTCATAAATAAAACCAAAAATTGTACAAATTTGAGCTTAACTCCTGAATTTCTTTACTTCAGTCTCTAATAACAAGTTAATTTAATGTTTAGTTTTTAATTGCTGCTTTGAATTAATTTAACAGGTCCACCAAAACTCATCCAGGTCCAGTTGAACATTTAAATGATAGTCCAAGAGATGAAGGGAAAGTAAGCATTATAACATCATTATACATGCTTTTATTTTACTCATTCTTGATAAAAATGTGTTCTCCTCCCTATCTTCCTCTTTTTTCTCCTTCCTCTTCTCCTTTCAAAACATTCAGTGTTACAATTAAATTTGAATGTATGGAGTGAGAAAATGAATGAGTGCATGAATTACTCATGCTTGTAAAGGTCCCTAACTAAATCTTCAGTATCATTTGGAGCTAAATTTGATACTTAATTTGAAACTAGAGGAAGTTAATATGTAGAACAATGTTTATTGTCTAATATTTAATGCTTGAGCTTTATGTCAATATCATAAACATTTGTCTTTGTTGTTTAGTTTTGATAGTGATAAATAACCAATGTTAAGTAACATAAATCAGCCAATCTTGAGATCATAAATGTTACTAAAATATAAAATGTTAACAGAATACAGAGAATCCTTATTACTTTTGATTATTTGATAATTGGCCTTTGATGATGAGGAAATAAAATTGGTAACATGAAGCGATCTAAATAATCACTACTATAATATGCTATGCACATGTAATGATTATATACTGAAAGTTTGTATTGATAGAAATAAAAATTTGCTGTCATATATAAGTTTCTTCAAGTATCTAATTTTTGATAAAGACTGTAGAAAATATCAGTAAGTTATTTATCAGGCATTTCATTCTTTATTGGTAAAGGATAGAAACTGAGCTATCTGGTCATTGTGCTGTACACCTGTAATCTTAGCAATTCAGAGATTGAGGCACAAGAATTGTTGCGAGTGTCAGGCCAGCCTGAACTGTTCGTTGTGAGACTCTGTCTTAGAAAAAGGAAAAGAAAAAGAAAGAAAGAAAGAAAGAAAAGAAAAAGAAAGAAAAAAGTAAGAAAGAAAAGAGAAGAGAAGAGAAAAAAGAAAAACTGAAATAACTTAATAAAAATTAAACCAGAATGG